CACACACACACACACACACACACACGGTACTATAATGCTATTACAGTATGGTTGCAAAGCAGTATCATTTTGCAATAACATAAAACTGTTCTGTAAACATTGCCTACCTAACATCAGAATGATTGACTCAAAAATGGGTCTAGTGATGACTTATCAATATAAAGTTTTGCAACTGACCCAAGGATTAATGGAAATAAAATTCTCCTGGCATTTGAAGTATCTGCCTTGAATGTCGTATGGGAAGAAAGATATAAATCACCATAATAAAAGCATAATATAAATATCTTATATCCTAAAGGCACTGTATGAATTGAAACTATGTTTTCATCTAGTTTGTCACTGGGAAGGAAGGTGTTTGAAAAAAATAACATCTACTGATAGAACAGATTCTCATAATGAAGCTCCCTGAATGGCAAATGAAAAAAGAACACTTACAAAGATTTTGAGAATTGGAGTTTGATGACAGTGCTCTTATGACAAGATTGGCTAAATATTGGTTTATGTTTTAAGTTTTAGTTCTTCTATATATTTAGAAATGTTAGATTCTATTAGACCCTGAGAACCATGGGGTACATTATTAAACTAGATGTGAGAAGACTCAAATTCGTATTTGGCCACAAGATTAACTAGTGACCTTCAAACAATCATATATCCCTAGATAAACTACTTCATGTGATTGTTTGGAGAGTAAAGTGGAATGTGACAAACCAGAAACCTTGAGACCTCTAAAGGAAAAATCCCATATCAAAATATTAAATAAGCCTTCAGAATGCACTAGGTCTTAGAATTATTATAATTTAAACAATAGGTATATTGCTTAGTGCCGACCAGCACATTAAACAACAGCCATTTAGACATATTTCCAAAAAAAAATTCTAATATTGTCCCATTAGAGCTTTTTAGGATATCTGATATTGTTTAATGTAGCATAATTGGATGCAAAGTATGTAACTTTCCAGATTTTTGCACACTTCTATTAATAAATAGTAAAAAAAAACATTTAGTATAAATTATTTTCTACCATGCCTTTACACAGGGATTAACATTAGAAGTGCAAAACAGTGTAGTTTATAGCCTCACAATATTACTGCATGTACATCCTCTCTTTAGCAAGCAATTTACAGTGCCAATTTAGATAATAATAAAGAAGTCATTAGTGATGTGTCCATTTTCAACTATAAAAGCCCCCTATAAAGTAAATGACTGTAAAAATCTGTTTATCTACTTTCTGCAAAACTCACATTTTGCTTTTCGCATAACACCATTGTTTATTTTTTCAACATTCTGCTGTGAAAACTATATTCTAAAACAAGCATAATTTAGTTATTATTTATTTTTATAGTCAAAGATCATAAAGAACTCCTAGAAACCTCATGTCCACATTCACATATATTTTATAGCAGTAATATAGAAATGGCTTGGCACTGCCTCCTTTAAGGATTTTTTTTTTTTTAACTTCCAAGTCTAATCTATGTAATGTTAATGTGCAGCTTATACATGCTGACTAGGGTAAAAGGCCCACTGAATTTAATATAGGATTTAATAAAGTACAGGAGTACAGCCTCAGCTTTCAGTCTAGTTTATTGCACATATTTTACCTTGCCTTGCTAAAACTTAATTTTTGTTTTTAAAAATCTGCTCACTATCAACTTAATAAAAGTGATACATCATCCTTTAATGAAGTTTTGCTAATGTCTAAAAATGATTAATAAAGAACCTTAAATTTACAACTACAACTGACCCTCCAAATTCATTTATCTTGCTGCCATAGTAGCCAAGCTTGTGCCTATAGGAAGTCCATAGGATATGAGCATAATTTTATGCTCCTGCTCATGTTCCTTAATATTGAGAGGCATTTCTGCCTTGGATCTTGGAGATAATATACAGCCAACATAATTAACAGCCACTAATAGGTTTATCTGCCATGAATTTGACTAATTTCCTTTTTAAAACCACTCAAGTTAGCTGACATCATCCAATTTTATGATAACACAGTTAAACTATGTGTCAGGTGAGAAATTACCTCTTTTTCAATCTTTCCTAAATCTCCCATTATTCAGCTTGATTGTATACCCTGGAACTCCAGTATAATGAAGAAACAAGAAAAATATCTTCCTATCTATAATTCTCTACATCATGTGCAATACAATGCATCTCTGTCAAATTCAACTTTATGCATTTTTCTTCTTAGCAAGAAAATCCCAGCATCCTTATTCCAAAGAAAGTTGCTCCAGCTCCCTAAACACTACAGTTTTCCTTTTATCTTTTCCAGCATATTTTGAAGAAATACAACCAAAACTTTACTTCAAATATATTTATACCCTAAATTTGTTGAAAGGCATTATGAAGTTGGAAGTTTATTCTGATTCCTTCCTAAATGATTCCCAAGATGGGAAGCATTAATCCAGCAGCACACTGGGTTAGCAGTTTTATTGAGCTACCAATCTACCAAGTATACGTATGAAATTACATCTCCCTACTGTGTACATAATTTTACACTTCCTTATACCGAACCTCATTTGCCATATTTAGGTCCATTTTCCAAGCTCTTCAAAACCAATGTCCCCAAATCACACACATCTGTAAAGTAATGGTACAAATATCAGTCTCTTAATGCAATAACTACAATATCACTGAATAGCAATAACAGTGGTAGAATTTCTCAAAACAGATTTTCTACCTTTACTTTTATCTTGATTTGCTCATTGGGTTTAGTCTAAAATAATACCAGTGCAATATCTCAAGTTAACTGTTTTATTTAATTTTACCTTCCTTTACAACTTATTACTTTCTATTATTAAGTGAACACAGAATATAGTTTTGTTTTAGTGGATTCCTATTAATCATTATCCTTTACTGTAAGATAAAGGTTTATATTCATAATTTTAAGCAGTATATTACAAATGACATCAAAAGGTAAAACAACCAAAATTGCCATACAGAGATCAGGGTAATGGTCCACAAACATAGGATGAAAAGATTATTCAGCAACTCACAGACCACCAGTTATAGTATTATTCCAAATCAATCCATTGAAGGATGAAGGACTCTTCACTTGAAAGTTATGCACCATAATCTGCCATGCTGGTACAGTGTGGGTAGATAGATGAATGTTTTTTGACTTCCCCGTGTGTAACACTGAGACAGAGAAACTGGCACAAAGTCACCCTGCTGCTTTCCATACCTAAGGGAGGACTAGAACCTGTGTCTCCCTACTCCTAATCCAGCACTATAAGCACTACATCCCACTGGCTCTCAATTATATATGAATCCCTCAAAAGTATTTTCCTAGATTTTTAATAATTTATATACCACTTTGGAATATAGGGTTCTCTCTCCTACTACAGTTGATCCTACTGAAAGAGAATAGGTTTCTGATTAATCAATGCTCTGAAGTGGTGAAATATCAGAAGACATGAAAATCATAGCTCTTTGATCTATTTCAATTATATCCTTTCTAATCAAGATATATATATATATTTTATATTAGAGATAACAGAAAAGCCATCACAAAATTTACCCCATGGTATTGATAGACTGAATAGACTACCAGAAGTGCCAGGTAGCTAATATAACTTCATACAATTGACCCAGTCCTCTGATGCAGTATGTCAATGATACGAAGGGCGATACCATGAAATTCCATTGGCACAAAGGTTCTGTATACACTACCAATCCTAGATTGAAAATTTATCTCATTACATAATTCACTCTCCCTTGAATTCATTTGTGTAGGGTGAAAAAAAGCCTTATTGGATTCTTAGTATTTCAGTTCTAATGAGGATAAGCTGGTCTTTTTCTTTCAGATAAAGCTGTCCAGATCTCTCAGCGTGTAGCTTCTCTTGCCATTGTAGTATTAAAGTTATGGACCAAAAACTCAATTCCCTCACTAAATCTAGTGTAAGTAAATTCCATATGAATTGACTTAATATTGTTTTGCATCTTGCTCTGTGAGAACTTCATGCAGCAGCCTATAGCTACACACTTAATAAAACTAAACTTGAAACTGCTACAATAGCAATATTTTCAACCCAAATATCTTTTCCAGTGATCACAAAATGAGCAAGATCCTGTTTGTTTATACCATCACATTAAGCCTCTGAAGCAATCAATACTGAGGAATAGTGGCAAAAAGGGGGGGGGGGGTTCCACATTATGCCCCGTTCAGTATAGTATCCAAATTCCTTTCCATTCCACTAATTTCCTTAGTCACCTGTTTGGGATGTAAAAAAATATAAGCTAAACTGAGGGCAAACATTAATCAATTATCTGAATATTGTATTATATTAATTTATTTTAAATTTATTGGCCACCCAATAAATTTAAAATAAATAAATATCCAGTGGACTCAATAAATATTAAATCGATATCATAAATGAATTAACAATGCGTCTCCAACTTTAAGCTGCTTATGGGGTATAATATCAACGCAATTCCAACTGGAATATATGTTCGCAGTGGAGAGGGGTGGAAAATATATTTGAAAAGTCATTAATTTTCTGCTCTTGAAAGGGACCGCAAGCGCAACAAATTATCCTCAACCCACAGACCTCTTTTCCTTCCTTTTCTCGTTAGCAACTCTCTCTTTCTACAGGCCCTTTCATTATATCGCACATCTCCCTGCCACCGCGTTATGTCAGCTGGAGGGGGGCATTCCCAGAGGCTTTCCCTCCAGCGTGGTCGGCTCCATGTCTAAGCAGCTTGACGCACCTGAGCAGGCTACCTGACTCGCCCGTTACCCCCAACTTTAGCCCTCCCCTCCTACCTGTCCAGGGTCTGCGGCATTACTAAGCCCGTCTGTTCCGACATCTTCCCCGGGTGCGGGGAACCCGGGGGCTCGGCTAAAACAGGCGCCAGGGACCGGTCTAGAAAGCAAGGCCCAGAGCCTGCCAGGAGGAGGGGGCAGGGACCCCGTCGGAGTCCCCGGACGCTTCGTTCGCGGCGACAAAAGACGCCACTGAGGGCAGGTGCCACTCACACCTGGCAAGCTTCGAGAGTAAGAGACAGCGCGCGCGCGAGGGAGAGAAAACGAGGAAACGGAGCGGGAGGGAAAAAAAAAAAGCAAGGCCGCAACCTCCGAGCAGCGAGGGACGGGAGGGAGGAGCGAGAGCCACTGCGCACGCGCCAGCTCTTACCTCACAGAGGAACCGCTGCTGCGCTCGGCTCCCTTCTCCTCCGCTGTAAACGAGAGACTGCAGTCAGCGCTCAAGTCACCATGGGAGATGTAGTTCCTGCTCCTTGCTACCCCTGAGGGGATTTAAATCCCCCTTCCCCCGCCCTTTCCTCCTTCTTCTAACGGCGCGCGCGTTACGGTTGCTCTCACCCTGTCCTTAAGCCGCAGCTGGGTGTGTGAGCGCGAGGCGGGTGGCATTTTGCCTTCGGCTGCAGACGCGGCGAGATGGCTACGCTCGCTGCGGGAAAGGTCAGCACCTCGCCCCTGTCAATTTCTGTGCGGGTTGCTTTTCCCTTACTCTGCCTTCTTGTCGTTCCCTTCTGGGCAAGCGGGAGAGAAAAGGGAGTGATTCGTAGTTAGGTGTTATAATATGAATTACATTCCCACCCCACCGCCTTTCCTTTTCTTACAGGTTTGCCTCCTATGTCGTCCTCCTATTTTCAGTCTCTCTCCCCATATCCCCCTTTCCCATGTCCACGCTGCAAATGCTTTTTTTTATAGGGATAGTTGGAAGACCTGTGACTTTTTGATTATGCCAACTAGACCAATAAAATGGATGGCTCCTTGCAGCTGTCAATACGTCAGAAACAAAGTGAGAGAAACAAAAAGAGAACCAGCCTCTCTCAGAGTTAAGCAAAGGAGGTTGGATTAGACGTTGTGGATGAGACAAGTTGTTCTGTTTCGAGGACAGAATATTACCCTCTGCTTTTCTCCTAGGAAGGCTATTAAAACTAATGTTGGATTGGGGTGACAAACCCTGTCACAATTTTGGTGTGGTACAGTGTTTCAATGGGATAGCCTCTTAAAATGTCATGTCCACTCCTCCTGAGGGAAGAGCTTAATGGAAGCTGACCCATTTTCTTTAACCTGCATGTTGTTTACAGAGATACATGAAATGGGGCAGAAAGAAATACCTAGGCATAAAGTGCTAAACTTCCAGCTATTACCTAGAATGCCAGATCTTCTTCACATTATATCCGAATGATGTAGATAAAATATGATACAGTATATCTGAAGCTCATTGTTTAGAAAAAAAGAAAACCAAGGACACTAACTACTGGCTGGGTTCACACAATGTACTTATCCATGGTTAACTGAATCAGAGTTTACTCCATTAACCCAATTTTTTGAGTATGCATGACAGACTAAACCACAATATAACTACACAGGCTGAGTTCCCTCAACAGGCTAGGCTAAAATATGTATGGTGAGTTGAGCTTCAGCATATGGTACAAACACAGCCAGCGTGGGCCTTCCTCTAGGAAAGTATCAGAAAAATAGTGCTACTTTTACTTTGCTCTTTTTTTTTAAAAAAAAAAATAGATTAAATATAGTTTTAGAAAATAGCAGTTGGCTTTGATTTAACAGTATAATTTAGGATTGAACATATGTGATACCCTTAAAAGTTGTAATGGAAAAATTACAATTTGTTTTGAAAGGGATCCTCTCACTTCTAAACCACAAACTTAAAACTATCCAATGACCTAATATTTGGTTATTTTGGTTCTCCCAAACAGAGATGAAGCTCACTTATTTCTCAAGAACTAGCAATTTTTCTACTACTAATTTTAAAATGTTTTTAAAATACTTGATACCAGTTGTTAACTTGTTAACTTGGTAAGCATTAACAGGATCATATAGCAGGCTGTAATAATTTGTACAACAATTTTAATAATGGGATGTCTTACCATCTTTAGGGAACTAGTTATTTCCTTATGAAAGCTGAGGTAGATTTAGCAGTCATGTGAACTGGATGTCAATACAGAAGTTTGCACAGTGAATGTTATATGAAAAGC